CCCCAAAACCCCAAAACCCCAAAACCCCAAAACCCCACCGCTCATCTACTTAATTGTCAGTACAAAACATAAAGAATTCTACAAAAAATGGACCCATTAGCATCTATTTGGGTATGAATAAAAGTTGGATTAGGAATAGTGACTTGACTTGGAGTGTATGTTTTGGTTGAGTTTTTGGTACTCCCTCAGTGCAGGAAGAGGAGGATGGGTAAATACAGTAACTTAAGGTCAAGCAAAAGCTTGATGAACAATATGGCAGACATGAAGAGAAATATTAAAGAAAACAAATATATTTTCTGGCATTTTATAAAGTTGAGGCTCACTGAGGAGAACTACGATGTCTTCTATACTGTTCGAGGGAATACCACAGCCTTTCTTCTAACATCAGTCAAAGCTTATGAAGAGTTCAAGCAGTTGCAGCCTGATGTGATTGATAGAAAGATCAACCCACAGAACACTTTTACCAAGCTAGCTCCAAGTGCCTTTGGGAACATCAAAAGTGGGAAAGAGTGGAACAAACGGAGAAACTCTGTCTCCAAACTCATGGTGCTAAATAAATCTTCCCAGTATATCCCGATGATGGTCCAGTCTCTTGATGCAGAGATTAGGACTTGGAAAATTGGTCAGGATATCAACGTTAGCGAGAGAATATCAGCAATAACTTTGACGATCATTACGAAAATTTTATTTGGTTCTGACATTACATCAAAAATTGAAGACTGTGATTACTTGCATCCTGACGGGAAGAGCACTAAGATGAGGTTCATGGATTTCTACCCCAAGATGATCTTGGATATAATGTTGACATTTTCAAACATAAAGGCAAGCATTTTTCCTTTCGTGGGCGTCTACGATCTAGTTGAACCTTTTGTGACGAACAGGAAGAACATCAATCAATTCCAGGATAAACTGAAGAAGTTCTTAGCAAACAGCACTGATGCTGGCTCAGTCTACAGAAAACTAATTGATGAATTCAAAATTCCTGAGGAAGATGCATTTCAGGATATCTGTGGTCTGTTATTTGCAGGCCACGATACTACTTCTCATGCTATCTCCAGTGCTATTTACTTCCTCAAGAAAAATCCAGAGGCTGATAAGAAGTTAAGAGAAGCTCTTGCTACCTGTGGGATCACTAAAGACACAGATTATTTCACTATTGAGACTAAAGAGAAGATTCAATCTTGTGAGTACTTAAATTATGTAATTAAAGAAACTCTGAGAATAGATCCACCTGCCTTCTCAAGCATTGTTTATGAGGCATGCAGGCCTATCACTTTGGTTGGAGTGCCTATCAAAAAGTCTGAAAGTATCCTTTTAAATATTTTAAGCCTTCATCATGATCCTTCACAATGGCATGAGCCATTAAAGTTCATTCCTGAACGATTCGATCCAGAAAGTGAATACTTTTTGAAGCCTGATGGAGATACTAGAAGTCTCTATGCTTATGCTCCATTCTCATTTGGGTTGCGAAAGTGTCCTGGACAAATCCTAGCAACTCTGGAGCTGAAATTCCTCTTATCAAGATTCCTCTGCACTGCAGATATAGAAATCCCAGAAAGTCTTCTGGAGAACGATTACGCTAGGTTTGCTCTCTTCAGTAATTTTCACCTTGAAGGTAAAGTAACCTATAAGTCAAGTTAAGAGATTTCAATCAGAATTGAGGTTTAAGGGGTTTTGGGGTTTTGGGGTTTTGGGG